TCAGCTTCTTCCAGCGCCTCATCCGCCCGTGGACCTGGTTCAGCTCGTGGTTCGGCGGCGACGACGACGACGAGGAGGAGCCCGTCTTCGGCGGCTACGAGACGCCGTACCGTTTCCCGGGCCAGCACGTGGCGCGGCTGGATGGCCGGCCGGCGCTGCAGCACCGGCCGCAGTCCTACCGGCCGCTGCCGCCGGCGCGCTACACGGGCGCCGCCGCCGGCTACCAGACGGCGCGCAGCGACGCAGAGTACGCGCCGGCCGAGAACGCGGCGCCGGCGTCCCGACGCGTCCCCGCCGCCGCCGCCCCCGCCGCCGCTCCCGCCCAGCCGGCCGCCGGCGACGCATAGCGAGGCTACAGTCCGACTCCAGAGGCGCTGGACGAGACCTAAGACCTGACGAGTGGCCGGCAGCGGGCGCCCGGCGATGGCTCCAGTGGTGACCGGGCCGTCCCGAACTCTAGCTGCGCCCGGCCAGTCCAGGTGGGCCAGCCGAACGCCGCAGGTCGTGCTCGACACGCGCGCAGTGTGCCAAATGGTCACCGACCGTAGGCAGCCACTCATTGTGCCGCCAGTATGTACTGTTGTACAAGCGAGTGGCACCTGCCACTTTGTCGCATATTTATTACGCACCTATTTATAGCACATTCACCGAAATGGAGGCATTTCACGCGAATGAGTATGCTTTCAACAGCTTTTGTTATGTTGCCTAGTGAATAGGTCGAATAATACACGATGCATATGATTCTGAGACAGAACGGACTGCGATCAAGTCGGCCCTATGCTCGAGAAACACGAACATTGATAAGCACGCGGAAGCTATACGAAAATATTTTTTTAAAAAAAAACGTTGCTCAAGCAATGTTCAAGCAAGCAATGGCTTGCACTGCACTTCGCTACACTGGGGCAGTTTATGCCTGCCATACAGACACGCCGACCTCCAATTGTAGCTGCTCAAATCGTAGTCTGCGACACTGCCACGACGGTGCGGAACTGAAAACCTGACACCTGTGTGATGGGCAGCAAGGCTCAATATTTAGGTATCTATGTCACGCGAAAATTAACGAGACTGGATAAAATAGACACGCAAATGTACCAGCCCTCACCCCAGGCATGATTCCCACATCCCCATCCCCATCCACGCCGGCCGGCTGCTACCCGCGCCGCTCCGGTGCTGACCCGCCCGCGGCCTGCAGTCTGGACCTGCCGACCGGCCACGCCGGTCCCGTGACCTGCCGGCACCCCCTCGCACCCGCCGCCAGTCGTGCGGCGCTGACCCGCCCGTGGCCTGCAGTCTGAACCGCCGACCGGCCACGCCGGTCCCGTGACCTGCCGGCACCCTCTCGCACCCGCCGCCGGTCGTGCGGCGCTGACCCGCCCGCGGCCGACGCGATCGCGCCGATTTGCGCCGCGCCGGCCGCGCTATCGCCCGGAGACGGGGCGGGCGGGACGGCGGGGCCGACGGAGCCCGGCTGGAGCCGTCGGGCGGCCCGCCGGCGACCGGACAACGCGACCAAGCAGACGGACGGCCCACCTTACACGGTCGAGTGACCAACGAGCGGCGCACACAGGGCGCCTGCGGGGGCCGCCGACGCGGGGGCGGTGACGAGCACCCCCTCACGCGGCTGCCTGCGCCGCCGTGCGGTCGACCGTGGCCAGGTGTCACCGCAGAGCCCGGCTGGGACCAGCGAGGTCGCCGGCCCCGGGCGGCGCGGCCGGGCCACCAGGCGTGACCGGCACGGGACGCACGCGGCGCCCCCCATCCCCGCCACATGGTACGGACGTCACGGCTGGCGGCGCTGCCGATCGGCCGAGTCGTCCGGCGCCGCAACGGGACACGTGAACCGGCACAAAAACGACCCGCCGCCGGGTCACAGGTCACCCGCTGGCGGCCCGCCGTGCCGGGCGGCGGGGCCGGAACAGCGGCCAGTTCACAAGCAGCTGCAACCGCCGGGCATCTATGCCGTTTCCGGCTGACAAGAAGGGACAAAGCGCCGCACGTGGCCCGGGAAGCGGACCCGACACCATTCCGCGGCTTCTTTGCCGTCGGAATGAAGACCGCGAGCTCAAAAACGGACCAGCAGGTCACGCACGGCGATTTGTTATGCTCAGTTCAGTAGGCGGCTTTCCCCCAGCAACGTGGCGAAGTTCTCGGAATGAAGAAGCGCGTGCGTCTCAGTGTCAATTTTCATAAAAACCGTATAGCCCTTGCGCACGAAGTGCAGATGCTAAATGCTACGGACTGGTGCCTGGAGTAATAAACACGCGCCGTGTATTCCATGCATCAAGCATACAAGCAAAGGCTTTCTGGGAAGACAGTTCTTATTCGCATTTCCAGAATTCAAAAGAGGTAACCCCGGTACCGTCAGCAGAATTCCAGTACGGCGCGACGTCCCACAGTGACCACCACATCCGGAAAGCCCGACCTTTCTGCAGCGGCAGTATCCAGTTTTCCGGCGCTTTCATCGGCCCGGTGTGGCCATTCGCCACAGCGGGCCGGTGTAGCGCGCCAGTCGGAGCAGCGGCTCTGGGGAGCAGCGCAGCGTCGTCTCCGGTCTCGCTCCCCGTCTCCCCGTCTCCCCTCTCGATGGCCACATCGTCCACGTGGCCCATGTTCGCTCGGCGGCCGGGAGAGTCGCCGGTCCGCGGGTCAGACAAGACCGCAGCCGGTAAGGAGTCCCGGCGAGAGATAGCGTGACAGACCACATGACCTGAGGGGCGAGCGTAGGGCACCGTGCCGGCCCCGTGACTTAATGCGAGACATGGCGTCAGGGAACACTGCCACCGCGACCTCCGAGACGCGGCACATGAGAAAACCGCTCCGTTAGTCACGGAGTGGCAGTGCACCAACGAGCCCCATCCAGTCGTGCTCTAAGATACAGCTTCAGGATACTTCAGCCCTGTCATCTCAGAGTAACACGAGATCACCGGCCCGGTGACCTCGGGCTACAGCACTCCGTCAGGGAACGGGCAAACATTTGACGGCAATGATGCAGACAAGATTTCAGCAGAGCCGTTGAACGGGTCACCGGAAAAATCGGGCTGCCCCGTAACTGATCCGGGATGAGATGCTATACAATAGCCCTAACAACGCGCCAAACCGTGGATTTGGCACCGCTGCCTGCGCCGTGACGCGGGGACATCAGGGCTACCTAATCTGTTGAGTATACCGGTCTCCGGTCACCAGCGCATCTGTATATAACCAGTTACCAGATAGTGTGCCAACCGTACAATACGCAAACCGCGCGGCGTCCGACCAGCGGGACGGCGCAGCGACGACTGCCGAGTGCGGGCTGCCTCAACCTGGCAAACGCCCGACGCACACTCAGGTCCTGCCAGGACAGCGGGCCAAAAATCGCCAGCCGCCAACCCTAGCTGAAGTTCAGTTGTACTTAGCGAGAGCTTCGGCGCAACTCATACACCGGGAGCATTAATGCCCGGCACGAAAGGCATCCGCACGAAACTTGCGCAGCGTGGAAAGAGCGAGCAATAACAGACGCGACATCCAGCTCTCTTCGCGTCTTCATCTGTCATCGCTGCCGAGCTACGCCATGCGTCCTCAGCGCGACCGGCCACACAAATCGAGCCGCACATCTACCAGCACCAGTGCCCGTTGTCGTTTTCTCCTCGGTCAAAATATGTTTGTTAGTCCAGCGTGGCTGTGAGGCCCAGCCGCCCGGAACTGGGACCGGTTTCGTTCCGCAGTGCGCTGGTCTTTCCTGTGGTTGGAGAACCTGTACTCGCCACGTAACTTGAATAGCAATGCTGTATTTTGTTCGCATTGCAATGCTGCAGGAAAATAACGCCTGCTCCAAAGCTTTTACGAAATTGTTTTGAAATATATGTATGCAGCTTTTAGGGAACGGCGCTCCTTGTTCGAAACTGCATGAAGCTGTGATGACTGGTTGAAAAGATATTCGTTTCTGGAAGGCATGCCATCCAGGGCAATCTGATCCGGGTCCCTTCATTTGAGCATTCTATCGCGGTCCACCACGACTCGCCTGCCCTGAGGTGTCGCCCGTTATGAGCACCCGACCTTCCCGGTACCCCGGCTGGAGCCTGACACGTGTCTGTTGTCACGACATAATCGACATGATGACACACCACTTACGCATGATCCGGACGGGTCCATGTCAACTACGTAGAACCCGTCACATTTGGAGTTCAGGTTGTATGCCGTACATGTCATCAGTAACATCTGTGCCCAGCACTTCAGCAATCCCTAGACACTAAATATGTCCATCTGGAGAGACCAATGGCGTCTTTCTAGACTTGAAAATACCAAAAGCCCACTACTTAAGCTGGTTTGGGTTCATGGCGTTGTTTTAATACTGTTGTTTTAATACAGCGAATTCAACATCTTCTCCAGTAAGTGCCCCACACTCTGCTATGGTAAATTATCCAGCATGAGTCTGCCCCTGCAGTGGATGCATACGGCATTAAAATGTAATTTATCGCAAGTAATCTGTTAAAGTCTAGTCGGTGCCCAAGTGAGCATGCTCTTCACGCAGTCAAAAAAAGTTTGGGGGGGGGGGCGCATCCAATGCAAGGAGTCATGCAGCAAAATTCACATACCCGCCCATTCACTGGAAAACGAGTAACCAGTGGAACTTGACTGCCATCCCCGACGGATAGCGGCCAAAGGAGCCACCATGTGCACCGGCGGCCACCTCCACCAGAGTCCACAGGTGCACACGACAGCCGGGCGCCCCGGGTCGACCCCGTCACAGCCCCACCAGACACCGGCGGCCACCTCCACCAGAGTCCACAGGTGCACACGACAGCCGGGCGCCCCGGGTCGACCCCGTCACAGCCCCACCAGACACCGGCGGCCACCTCCGCCAGAGTCCACAGGTGCACACGACGGCCGGGCGCCTCGGGCCGACTTCCGGCCGTTACGCCGCCAGACCCCGGCCGCCGACTTCGGACCACACCCGGCCGTCGCCCCGCCAGACACCGGCAGCAGACTCCCCACAGCAGACTCGTCCCTCCACCGACACCCACCTCCAAAACCTGGTTGTAGGCGTCGCGCCACTGTTTCTCGGTGAGCTCCACGTCCTTGAGCTTGGGCGCCGGTCGGCGCGCCTCGCCGATGAAAGACATGAGCAGCACGTGCTCCTTGAGCACCAGCGGCAGCGGACAGCGGACGCCGGCGCGCGTCAGCCGTTTCAGGTTGCACAGCTCCTTCTCGGCCCACAGATGGATCAGCCGGCGCGGGTTCTGCGGGCGCGATGCGTCGGTCATCGGGGGTCCGTCGAGCGAGGGACGGAGGGACGCGGAGAGCAGCAAGGTCTGCATCTGACGAACGCGTGACTGGTGCAAAAACAGACGGTTCGGTGAGCTGCTGGACATTACCCACCGTCCAGCGTAGGAGTGCATTTGAGCAATGCGTTCAAAAAGCATTGATGTGGCTGACTAACGGTGTAATTTATCGTCCTGCCTACTTGTAATGACGTCTCCGCACGCGAATTACTATCGATGATAATGAAATAAGCTGCTATAAGACAGAATGTACAAAAGCTATTCCGCCTAAACAACACTGCTTCACACCTGTTTGGCCATGCGATCCTTGAAGCGCTTGTCCGCCTTGATGTACTTCTCTCGAGTCTTGAATTCATTCAGTGTGGTCTTGAAAACTTTCAAAACACATTCGTCCGGGACCTCAATCTCATCCGAGCTGAAACACAAAATGCCGAGCATCAGCCAACACATTGAACATCCAGGCCGGAACGATCGAACACAACGCCAGCCCGTGAGACGCATTCACCTGCGGCCGGGCGCCGACAGATGTCAGTACTGTCAGCCCCGGGGAGCCGCCGCCGCCACCGTGCTACCCACCTGCCGCCACGCGCGTGGAACACGTACGCCTCCTTGCCGGTGCTGATGGCACCGTTCACGCCGTCCACCACGCCGCTGTTGAGCATCTTCAGGATCATGAGCCGCGTGGGGCGGTCCAGCGCGGAGGACGTGGCACGGTCCTCCTTGTCGGCCACGCGGTGTTTGCGCTGGCCGTCAGCCCTAGCGTGCTTCCGCAGCGCGTTCAGCACCTGTCCGGGCAGAAGAGGCGTGTAAGTGGCACCGGCGGAGACGTGTCAGTGACACCGGCTGAGGGGTGTCAGTGGCACCGGCGGAGGCATGTCAATGACACCGGCTGAGGGGTGTCAGTGGCATCAGCAAAGGCGTCCTAGCGGCACCGGTGAGTGGCACTGCGGGCGCCTACAACTACTCGCAGCACGGACAATGGTCAAGATCAATGGCTGTGGACCGACAGGCGGTGCCACCCAACAACGCCGGACTGGCGAGAAGGAACACTCGGCAGCCGACGGCACCGACAGGGCTGCCATCTGGTGGTTGGCGAGCGGTGGGCACAGTCACGCAATAAGACTGCAGCATGCCAAACAAGCGCTGAAGCGGCGAGCACAGTCACACAACACGGCCGTGGCATGGCAAAAAAACGCTGTGACATCCACAAACTAGTTATTCGCAGTGTTGGTGAGCAAAATCGATGCATAAGGAGCGATGAAATTGGTCAGCTTCTGGGCTAAGGAATATAGTAGGATTGTCGACGTGCTTTGTAAACATCTAACTGCACCACAATATTGTAACTCGCAACTTAAACGCTTTGTGCAGGGGTATATCAAGCATCCTGTTTCAGGGATTCAATTTGTCAGCCAACGCCCAACAGTGCAGCTAGAAAACTGCTTGTTCTCGTCATTTGGGGGGAGGGGGGGGGGAGAGGCATGGCACCCTCTCCTCCAACAGGATCTGGTAGCGCTTCTCCGACCGTTATCTACAAATCCAGCAAGATGCGCAACATTTGCCAGCATTGATCAAAAGTCCTACAAACCATCATGTAACAGAGCGGTTTCGAACTATTGACACACCACAATTCATCACACAAGTGGGATGTCACTGCTAACCTGCATTTATGCATTTTTCCTTTGGTCCACGAAAGTACTTGGTTACTAAGGAGTGTGACGCAAACGTACAAATGACGCCATTCTAGACAGATCACCATGATACATAAAAATCCTAAATACCAGTATTTTAAGGATTTACCACAACCATGTAGTGTCTACCTCCAATATCAACAACGATGTTCAACTACATTCCTTCTTACTCAACCCTGCATCATGGTATCGCGCGTAAAGCACAGCAACGGCTGCTTCGATGTATGCGGCCAAAGTCCCAACTATGACCTCAGTGCACCATCTAAGCACAGAACAACACTGCCACATTCAAATGGGCTGGAATCCGCTGGCTGCGGTGACCCGGACAGGAGAGTCCGAGAACACAGCTAATCAAATACTCGCAATTCCTCTGGGAAAAATCTCCAGGCCCCCGCCCAAATTATATATGAAAAACAGCCCCGCTCGCTTCTCCACAGCACTTCACCGAGCTTCACAGAACTTCACTCCAACACTTCGCCGAGCAGTGCCGTCGCGGGCCGGGCGGCCAGGCCACTCACCCCGTTGTTGATCTCCATGTCAAAGCTGCCGCCGTCGCCGGTGCAGATGTTGGGCGGCAGGTCCATGACCTTGCAGGCGTTCTTGCGGCCGGCGATGTGTCGGTCGTGCTTGGTCACCATGCGGTCGTTGTGCACGGTGTAGCCGCAGCGCGGGATGTGCGGCGCGTCGCGCTCGCGCGTCTGCGGCGTGGCAGCCGGGCACGCCGTCAGCGGTCGGCGCTGGCAAGGGCGGTAGCCCTCCCCTCCCCCCCCCCCCCCACACACACACCACACACAGACACACAGCGGCCGGGCACCACGTGCAAGGAAGTAGCGGCGAGGCATGGGCTCCTGCGATGCGCGGGGCTTAAAATTCAGATTGGGTGAGGTGAGCGCGTCGTGAGAACAGGGACGATGCTTTTTTAATGGCATGATGAATCCACTACCTCAGCTGTCAATGTTTGTTGGGTTTTAGCGCTAGAACGACAGTTGCCGAGCCACAGCAACACAACAGCAGCAGCAACAACAACATACATAAGTATCTATGAACAACAGCAGCAGGAAGGATTTCACAGGAGGTGGAGCTCACAGAAACGAATATTTCATGGATAAAATCACACGTCCGGGCATTGCCACAGCTTTGGCAATTACCCCTTTGCCCAAAAAGGTACGATTTCGTTACTTGGTTGCCCGCTCCCCGCGTGCCAGTGGCTCCCGTCCGACCCGGGGCGACGCGGCACGCACCTCGAACGAGTCCCACTCGCACGTGCGGTCCACGTCGTCGTCGTAGTCCTCCTCCTCCTCCTCCGACTCCAGGACCGGGTACGGGTGGCGCAGGCGGTACATCTCGTAGCTGACGCTGACTGCAAGCGCCAATCACGACGCTTAGTCGGGCTTGAACGTTGCGTGGGCCCGAACATGTCGCGTAACTACAAGAGAGGCCGCTGGCCTAGTATGCCTTACTTGAACTTTGAGAACATTGTCAACACAAACCCAAACAAGCCAGCATGCTTTCTAGAAGCTTATGTTCAAACAGTGATTTACATCAATATTGGATGCTAAAACATCCATCTCTATTAGTATCTGTATGAGACATGAAACAACTGGCGGCTCTCATAAATACATGATCACCTCATTCCATCCATAGTTTCAAACACCTTTTTAATCCTGGCGAGTTTGACGACCATGGCACGCAACATTGTGGATGAATAATGAATGCCATAACATGGTGACGGCGTCCTTGCTGGTGGTCCTCCCATATCTAAAAACTCGCCCAATAATATGACAAGAAGAGGCCAGAACACATAGTGTATTACAGCATAGCATACCACAATAGAACCTGAATAAGGTCAGCACACATTCAAACACACCAAAACTGTCAGGGAGACAAGTGAATGCTACCTTGCAGCTTTAAACAATGGATGGCAGCATATCCCAAACAGTTATTCTCACATTTTTTTAATGGTGGTAAAAACTACTTTTTCAGGACAGGTGATATTTATGGACTACCACACTAGGGCACACCAGACCAATCTCAGGGAATGCCACTGGGACCACCGCACACACTGACCCTTGGAGTCACCGTTGACCTTGTTCTGCTCCCGCTGCAGCATCTCGTCGCACTCGCGGTCCAGCTGGTCCTGCATGAGCTGGGCCAGCAACAGGTCACTGCTCACATCCTCTTCAGGAAGTACCTCCACTGACTCCACACTGATTGGGGTGACAGCTGGCACTGCAGCCAAGCCAGCCAGTGCATTTTCCCTGCATGGGTTGGCAAGGTCAGATGGTAGTGGTCAGTGGGATGGCACCAACTGGAAATGACAGGCATGCATAGGAGCTGGCTCTGTCCCTTGCACCAGAGTATGGGGCATTGAGATTGCTTTTAGTTTCTGTAAGTTATGTTGATGAATTTTGTATTCTTATTCAACAAAAGCATCCATATGTCACCATGAATCATGTCTATGCAATACAACTAGATGTAACTGTAACTATAACTGTGAACCATCAGCAGTTGTTTTTTATCCTAGCACATGTCCCAAGTAACTCAACCAAACAGCGAATGTGGGATAATCCAACACATCAAATTAGCACCATTTCTTGCATTGTCAGCCAAATTAATTAATGTGTATGTTTCAGACACATACTTGTTTTGTAAATCTACAGCCATCTGCTCTGACATGACATCCTGCAGACTGGTCTCTGCCTGTTTGATAGAGCCCCACACCGATGCCACTGCCATCTGAAAACATACATACACACATCCATTTAGGTACACCAGATGTATTACACTGCAGTAGCTGACAAGGACATTAAGATTAAAATTTGTATTCCAACCAAATAACACATATGTTATACTATAACAAAGACATGGCCCTTATATGGCATGTGCTGCCAACCCAATACATTCTGCCTCGCTACCTAATGACAAAACATGCCTGCTTCCTGATAACAGCACCTTACGTAATAAGAAATGCATGCTTTTAACGTGATACTTAGCCTTGCAACTTAACATTAGTTTGGGTTTGCTAATGCATTTACCCTGCCATTTCACAATAAATGCAATAGATATTCCAGCAGCTGAAAGTGTTCTCAACTTGGTTTGTCTGTTACTGAGTGAAACAACACTTCTGGACCATACATTAGCAATGACCTAATATTTTACAGCTCACTAGGCACCCACAAAATTAGCTGGACTACCACTTTCCAGCCAAATGTTGACATCAACTGCAGCATCATCATAAGTCATGCTACTCAAACTTCCATAATAGACCAAGGCAACCACTAAATCTTTACTGACAATTCTTTACAGGGTAAAACTATTGTAACATCAAATTTAATACAGCCAAAGAAAAACAGAGAAGCTAAAATTCCATATGCACTGGAAGTGCACACCTCCATTAGCTGGAGACCAAAAATGATGAAAACATAGGTTCTGGTAAAAGCTGCAAATGGAGCAATTACAATTTTGGGGAGGTTGACTCTCCTGGATCCACAGCACCAAAAACTTGTGAACCAGTTCATATCAAGATACAATTGTGGAACATCTAAAAAACTGCACAAGCTTGTGCTGTGCCCATTCCAATAAGACCTGCCTTTGGCCAGGGGTAGTAAGCCCACTTAATGAACAATCTTTCCTATCACAATTTGTTTATGGCCTAGATAATGCCCAGCAACAACAAACTGAGTTACCTGGACAGTTCTAAAAATACCAACACACCAGGTACACACCAGATCAGGACTACAGTCAGAACAATCACTCTATCCTATCATAGCTTAGCTTTTCCCATAACAGTTTCTTTTGACCATCATACTTTTCCAAACAGTATGATGCATCAGCTACATAGTAAAACACAACACCCACAGGCCACAGCAAAACAAATGACCTGGGAATGTAACTCCATCACAGATTAGCTCACCCTGAAATGAGGTTTAGGAGTATGATACACGGTAGCAAAAGTACTTGTCAGTGGTGAGACTAGGACTTGGTCGAAGCCCCGATTTCTGTTTTCAAGCGACTTGTTCCGAGTGCTAGAAATCGCACCTCTCTTACGCGCCCCGAAAACCACTAAATCAGCTATCACAGAAACTTCAAGGGACCTTCTAGATTCACCGAGGGTAACAACTTGCCGCGTCCTGACTGTGAAGGACAGCAAGTTGATAAATACCAATTTTGGATGGCACAGAGATGTCGAAAGGAAGGGGCCGAGACGACCTGCGCGGCGCCATCCGCGTGCCAAACAATCGTCCCACTCAGTTTGCCTTTCGACGTTAGACCGCGCCAGAAACGCCACGGGCTTCCGACACACTGTTGTGCAACCTCGCCGACCAATCAGAGGCTGGGGCGCAATGTGGTCTCGTGGGCCCGCCTTGGGGCAATGGGCCAGGGGCAGGGGCTCACTTTTGAACCGTGTTCGTTACGTCAGTGATAGGATTATGTGACTCAAGGGACCACGGGAGATGGCAGGAGGCAACATTGCTACCTTCAAAATAGGTATGTTTCATCACCCTGCAGCATTTTCATCGAAGGGCATCAGCTCACGCTCCGCTCGCATTACTCATTGATCAAACTGATGTAGCTGTTAGGTGATGTATATTACTGTGGTGAAATGATGTGATGAGTTCAATCACATAGGCGAACAGCGATGACGAGCCAAAAGGTACAACACGGGGAAGACATATCACAAATCAGCCCTCTGGGCTTGTAAAACAAACCGCCAGGCTTGTAACACAACTATTTACACCGAATAAATAGCATCATCACACCTCCCGCATAACGGTCGCGTACTCCGGCACCTCTAGCTCTATGAAGCACAGTGCAAAATCTAACAGCGACTACAGGTACAAGCATACGGGGCGACCGCCGTCAGTCGCCGACGTATCACGGTTGGCCGCCAGGCGGCACGCCTCCCGGGCCGGCGGGCGGCTTCAGCCCCCAGTCCTGACAGGCCGTTGGCCATCGTCGACCTCTGGTCCTGCCCTCAACACCAACGACTCGCGCGCAAAGTTGGTGATAGAAGTCCCACCATTTGAGAGCCCTGCGGGCCTCGCGCCGGGCCAGCACACCAACATACCACGCTTTTTGTACCATATCGAGGAGCATTGACTGAGTTTCGCAGTGAAATGTTTCAAGCCCGTCAAAGGAAATGCGGCGTAAGGTGATAGAAAACAGCATGTCTATGCTGTTCACATCATAAGCAGACTAAAAAAGCATCCTTAATTCAAAACTTCATACACAACGAATCAGCAGAGCCAGCATCCACAGGCCAAGATCATGACAACCTCACAAGATACTGGCAGCATCAGAACATCGGAACAAGAAAAAGTCTGATAAAAAATCCAGGTGGCCACTTAGTATGAAAAAACATCCTCCAGTCCGTCTATAGCCTGAAAACACTCTCCTCCTTAGTCATCTAGACTTAAGACCAATAAATACACTCCTCGGAGCCACACTGAGCACCTACCAACCGCGGAGCTTTGTAAGCCGGCGGTTCACGGGCGATAACAAGTCAGCTGACGTCACCAGGCTGTCAGCGCCCCTGGCGGCCGACTCGGCAGTTGGACTGCACGGCCGGCCGCGTCACGCGTCGCCGCAGCAGGGGCAGGCGGCGCGCGGCAGCCGCGGTCAGACGCGCGCCGGCCGCCGCCGGTGCCGCTTGCCCGAGTCGAGCAGGTGCGAGATGTCGACGGCCGGGCCGGGCAGACGCGCCAGCAGGCGCAGCAGCACACCGTCCAAGCGCCGGTACTGACGCGCGTGCTGCGGCAGCACACACCGACAGTCACACATCGGCACTGAGCGCCGACTCCTCCAAGCGAGTCAGGCCAGTGTTCTAACGTTCACATCGCACGCGGCGATTACACCGCCATGCACGATGGAAATCCCACCAATGACAACCCATCCAGAATAATGAGAAGTTGATTGATTGGCCACAAAATACAGAACAATACGCAAAATAAAAAAACGACCATATCGCCAAGCCGCACCCGTCTAGCACGCGGCGCCGGTGCCTGTCTTACACCGCCTGCGCCTGACGGCAGTCTGACAGCCGCGCCCGCGCCGCCGCGTCTGCTTACCTTCTCCTCCGGCGTCTCCGGCTTGGGCGGCAGCGCCGCGTGCCTGGACACGTCCCTGGCCGCTTTGGGCTTGGCCGGCTTGGGCACCGCCTGCGCCTCCTCCCTTTTCTTTGCCTTGGCCTTCTCCGTGTTGATCTTCTTCGCCACCTCCTCGGCGTGCGGCTGCGGACAAAACGGACGTCACTCGCTGGCCAGTGACGTCATGATAAACAGCAGAACCACGGCTTACTCACAACTCTGTCCTGCATGGCAAATGTGTGCACGCCATAGGGTCAACTGTGCACGGCGCGACTTCAGCATGGCCGCCATGCTGAAGGGGCGACGCTCACCGTGAACGTCCTAGATATCTTCAGGCGCGTCTCGAACGTGTCGAACGCGAAGGCTTTGGTGCAGATCGGGTGTCGATTCTTGTTGATCTTGGCAAACAGCCTGCGGGTACGGACCGGAAGTTACGGCGAGCCCCGTTTGACCGTTACAAAATGTCACCAAAGGTCGGCTCGCCACACGCTCCAGAGCGACCGCAACACCTCCGCTAAGGCAAAGCGACACCAGCCGCCGAAACCAAAAGATCTGTGAAAAGACACCGGCGCCACTGGTGCTGAGGTCAACATCATGGCGCAAGAGCAACCCACCGTTCGGGAGACCCGCGCAAGAGCCACCCCGCATTTGGAAAACGCGCGTGGAGCCTCGGCACCCCACCACCCATCTCTGACGGGCCTGGCGTCACCGCCGCAGCTCACCTGGCCGACTTGTCCACCCGGTAGTCGCAGATGTAGACGCTCTGCTCCTGGGCGCCGACCGGACGGCCCTTGCAGTAGGTGTTGGCGTCCAGCACCCAGCAGGTACCCACCACCAGCTCGAGCGGCACCACCTCGTACAGCGGCGAGCGCATCACCTCCTTCGGGTAGAACTTGCGCGTCGGCTCGTGGTATGTCTCTTGAGGCCGGCAGTAGTGATAGCCGAAGGCGAACCGTGCGCCGCTGGAAGGTGACCGGTGGTCAGGGCTGTGCTCGCGCACGGGGGGGGGGGGGGGGGCGGTCAATGTGTGACAGGTGCGACGGCTCGCGTCGCGTTTGATTAAGACCCCAGAACGACGCCGTAACTACAAGGTCAAATGTTGGCGTCCGTAGCCTCGGTAGGGAGCACTACGCACCGCTCCCGCAAGAGCATCACGAACGGACGCAACAATGTAACGTCACTCCATGACGTAACTAACGTAACCAACACTAACGGAAGGGCACACATGGCATAATAAAACCATGTGCAATTGAAATATTGGGTTTTCATTCCTTTCGGCAAACGAAATACGTCACGGGTCCACACACGCATAAACTTCCCCTTTGAACATACGCTATTTCAAACCCCATGCACGCAAATCCACACGACTATCGCTGCAGCCGCCACGGGTCTGCAAAGTGGCCAGGTGTACCTCTCGTCCTTCCACAGCTTCTCCACCCGGAAGATGAGCAGGTCCTCCGGCACTAGACGCGTGATGTACTTGTAGGGCACCATGCCCGCCTCCTGCGCCGCCTTCACCATGTTGCCCTGCATGATGTACACGCAGTCGCCTGCCGAGAGGACGCGAGCGTCAGGCCCAAGTCTTGCACTGCGCAGTCACGTCACGTCACGTCACGTCACGTCACGTCACGTCACGTCTGACCGTCACGTCACGAGCAGCGCCAAGCAGTCCTTAAAGGAAATGTCTGACATCTAAAAATATTGAAGTTAACATCAGATATGATGACGCAAGCTCGCGTATAACTATTGGTACACAGCTTAAGTACAAAAGACCGCTCTGGACAGCACAATTCTCTGCTGAGCTCACATGCTCCTCAATACGTCATGGTTTGATTACGTCATCGTGCCTTGCACAACATTGACTAGGAGCCAATTGGCGACCGATATATCTTGAAATCGCGCTCGTTAACGCCAGATATGAACGCCTCGACAATGATATGTTTCCTGCCCTTGATCGCCGCATGGCTTACGGAACGGTGGGACTTGAATGACGTTATTATGACGTCATGAATGCCAGGGTGACTGAAATACTATCACCGATTTACCTTTCCCCGTTTTTGCGGGCGTTTAGCTCAGAAACCAAACGTGCTTCGGTCTTAAGAAATGTAGGATTGTGAGCAGCACCGAAAGGTCTTCAAGATACCTATTTCAGTTCAAAACTGTATATAAATGTGGAACACTCCCCTAAACCCGGCAATCCCGTGCGTGGCAGCGCCAGCGGTGCCGTCTCCTTACAAGCCGGACGGGTCTTGCCAATGAACAGCACAATACGACCTTCAACCTTCGCACCACCGCGGCTTCGACGTTACACGAGATACTGCCGCTCCAAGCCTTATCAGCCACGCCCCTAAAACTGGATCGGCGGACGTGACCTTCGCTGAGGGCCGGATCACCGCTAGCCAGGGCGGCCGGAGCCGGGGGTCCGGGGGCGGGGGCGGGACCGGGGGCCGGGGCCGGGGCCGGGGCCGGGGGCCGGGGGCCGAGGGCCGAGGGCCGGGGCCGGGGCCGGGGCCGAGGGCCGAGGCCGGGGCCGGGGCCGGGGCCGGGGCCGGGGCCGGGGCCGGGGCCGGGGCCGGGGCCGGGGTCGGGGCCGGGGCCGGGGCCGGGGCCGGGGCCGGGGTCGGGGCCGGGGCCGGGGTCGGACCAGGGCCAGGGCCGGGGCCGGGGCCGGGGCCGGGGCCGGGGCCGGGGCCGGGCCCGGGGCCGGTGGCCGGGGGCCGAGGGTCGGGAGCCGGGGGTCGGGGGTCGGGGGTCGGGAGCCGGGGGCCGGGGGCCGGGGGCCGGGGGCCGGGGGCCGGGGGCCGGGTAGAGTGGCTTACCCTGGCGAACCTGCAGGTCGTCCCGCACCAGCGACAGGTAGTAGACCAGGCCAGGCTCGGCGTCCTCCGGCTGCGGCTTCAGACGCACCTCCGGGCTGAGGTCGCGCGGCTCGCACAGCTGCCGGGCGATGTGATCCGGTGTGAGAGAGCAGGAGGCGCGGGGCACACACAGGACTGAGGTGGTGCGGAACCCCCGGGCGTCAGAGGGGGGAGGGGCCTAGGGGCACACACAGGACTGAGGTGGTGCGGAACCCCCGGGCGTCAGAGGGGGGGGGGGGGGCTAGGGGCACACACAGGACTGAGGTGGTGCGGAACCCCCGGGCGTCAGAGGGGGGAGGGGCCAAGGGGCACACATAGGACTGAAGGACTGAAGTGACGCGGAGCCACCGAACGTGAGGGGGCGGGCGGCCGGGACTTGACAGCCGGGAGAGCAGCGGCCGGCGTGAGGATCGCGCGCGGTGACGTTACACACCAGCTGCTGGTGTCAGAGCCTGGCACAGACTTAACCAGGCAACGTCTAGACCGGACACACAGACAAAACAGGGCAGCCGAGGTGGATGCCAGAATCCAGCCCGGACACATCATAGCAAGGCAAACGAGAACCATGGCCCCATCAATATGTATATCAAACGAGTTTAAACTGGAGGTAATTGACAACAGCCTACGGTGACCATCGCGTGCCCGGCCGTCCCGCGAGCGTCGACTCACCTCGCAGACGTAGCTCTCGACGGCCGGGTCGGCGTCCACACAGTCGCAGTGCTGCCAGATGAGGCAGCGCTCACACTGGATCATGAGGCCCTCCTCGCGGTGCAGGTTACACACGCACCGGATCGTGTCCTCCTCGCCGTCTGCCGGCCAGACCCGACACGTCAGCAGGGTACCGGCACGACACAGATGGCGACGGGCCGGCCTCCGGGCAGCAGCAGCAGCAGCAGTAACGATACAATCTGCTGAGTCAAGATGGCAACGAAAGACAGCTCCTGGTCTTTGTGCCGAGATGTGCGGCGAGCGCTGCACATTACACAAAACACCGTCTCTTCGGGGTTGGTGTCACATTCACAGAGGAGCCGCAACTGTCACCAAACTTGCAAGCGTAGCACACCGCCGTACCACACCCCACCTATCGCCGCGACAACACGCCCGCTGTATACCCCTATGAGGCCGATACACGGCCGCCACGCCCGCGAAGGGGCGGAGCGCGGTCGACGCACGCGCGCCACTAACCGAGGCCGCTGTCCTGGCGCCGCTTGGCCGGCGGCCGGAAGCTGCTCGGCGTCACGCCGAGGATCTCCTGGATCTGGCTCATCATGACCGTCTTGAACTCGGCGTACTTGTGCTTGAGCCGCAGCACGGCCGCGCCCACCGGCGAGCAGCGGCCGTGCGCGCGCAGCTGCGTGGTGAAGAGCCGCCGGAAGTCGTGGTCAAACGCGTCGGCCGAGCGGTACTGGCCGGTGACGATGCGCCGCTCGATCTCGGCGATGCCCAGCGGCTCCGGCAGCAGCGAGACCGACTCGGCGTCGGCCGGCTCGACGCTCGGCTTGCGCGGCAGCGTCAGCGCCTCGATCGGGCTCGGGTCGAGCTTGTCGCCTGAGCCAGGGGCGGCGGCGGCCGGTCAGAACGGGTGGAAGCGTCCCGACGCCCGCCCGGCGCTGTCCCAGCACAGCCAAGGCGAGCGCAACACCCGGGGGGCGCCGACAGGGCGGGGCGGGGGGGGGGGGCCTTCTACTGGCGCACAGGCTGACACCGGCCGGTACCACTGGCTATATCTGCAGCTGATTAGACAATACGGCGAAGCATAACGGCGGCGAGTCGCCGTTTGTTACCGTTTGGCAAAGGTTCAGTTATTTCACTACTGTTTTGGCGGCTCTGTTTCGCTCTAATGGCAACTCCGACAGCCTATGTCGTGGTAACTGGTTTTTCAAGTCTCTCAAAGATATTTTACCAGTGTTTAGAGTGAACGCGATGCAACTTTAACCCACATGCAAGATCTGGTCACCCTCCATTTGATTGCGCCCTTTTACTGTACTGCTGCACTACTTCGATTTCTATCAACCGTTGTCATCGCACTGCTCACATTTAGTATTTATTGTGCTTTGTTCTTGCATGGCCTTATATGTGATTTGGAAGCCGCACCTCCATCGAAAATTAATTAATCACACTAAATAAGGGCTCGACCTTTCGTGACCACATTATTCAGCAATACAACTGTCATACACGTGTGACGGCCGCCCAATGCAAGCGAACTGTACACGCCCAGGCTGCAGCAGGGCGCATCGAGCCCCAGCACAATGCGCCAGCCGAGGGTCGCATCATGACTGACATGACATGAAACAGCATACGACTACAACCGATGCTTACGTCTTCACTCGATTAAAAGCTTGACACGAAACACGCGAGTCGTAACTGCCAACTTATGTATACACTGTTCGCCTAGCCGACAGACAGAGGCCCACCGCCGGCATGGCCACTCACCGTTGCAGGCCACCACCGCCTGGTAGATCTCCTTGAGGATGTGCGCCAGCCTGAGCTGGCGCACTTTGAGCGGGTCATCCTCGGCGGCCGCCAGGCGGCGGGTGCGCACCGAGCGCGAGCTGTCGAGCGCGCGCAGCTGCGCACGGAACGTCTCGCCCTGCGGGCCGGCGGCGGCGGCGGCAGCGCCGGCCGCGGCCGCCGCGGGCGCCGGCGGCGGCGACTCGGCCCGCGCCTGGTCCGGCAGCCGGTCCCGCTGGCGACGCATCTGCGGACGCGGCAGCGGCGGCCGGTCAGCGGCACGGCCGACAATAAGCGGCACGCAGCGGAGCGGAGCGCGCGCGAGAGACCGCACATCCCTCCTGGAGTCAACGATGAAGGATAAGCACCGCAACAGAGGACACCCCGGGCCTCACACACCTTGGAATGTTTCACCCTTCACTCGTAGACGCAGACTGTCAGGCTACCCTAGGTCACTCTAGGTCCTCGCTACGGATGATATACCGACCACCTGCCTCCCCCCGCACTGTCCGCATGCCAGCTCGCCGCCTCGGCTCCGCGCCCCACCCAGCACCGCCGTCACTGACCTTCTCGTAGTTGCGGACGAGGAAGGAGCGGTGCAGCCGGATGAAGCGGACGTCACGCGCCGAGAGCGGACGCACGGGCAGCGTCTGGGGCTCGCGGCACACCGACTCGGGCTGCTCCGAGCTGACCGAGAGACGGCGCTCCTCGCGCGCCGCGCCGCCGCCCGGCTCGCTGGCGGCCGGCCGAGCCGCCGCCGCCGGTGGCGCGCCGGCAGCCGCGGCGGCCGCGGCGCGCGCCCGCCCACGCCCGGGCGGTGGCGGCTTGGGCGGCGGCGGGCCGACGCGTTGAGAACGGCCGCCAATCACGCCACGGCAGTCCGGCGAGCCGCAGTGGCACTTCTGCGGGTCGGGCGGCGGCGGTCACAGCCAGACACAGGCCCCCCACCTGACATGGACGCCGACTGCAGCACCGATGGTTAGCAACGACAGCGGTTAGGCGTGGCCCAGTGCTACACAGAGATCGCCTTTCCAACACCACTTGTGCTACATATGCATGTTGTGACGCTGCTGACACGGCCCGGTACCAGCCAGCACGATGAGCATCTATGCCGTTGTCATAGCTCATGCACATCCACATCTCACACTGGGCACAAACCACCACTGCCGACACCTATCAGTGGGACCACGGCAGCGCGCGCCGGCCCACACGCCGCCCCGTGCCGCGGCCGTCGAGCTGACCTGGCCCACGGCCGGATTGAAGAGGGAGAAGTTGTAGTCGTAGGTGAGCTCGGTGCCGGCCGCGATGTCAGTCTGGGAGAAGAGCGCCATCCGGTGCAGGCCGTTCATCTCCCACTTCTGCATCTCGCAGTTGGGCGAGCACGAGTGGTTCACGAACCGACCTGGCGGCCGGCACACCAGTTTGGGAACTCCGGCTGCGAGCGCGACCGAGACTTAATCCCATAATGTACATATGGTGCGCGCTGACACGCTAACCTGCACACGCGTGGCATTCACGACAATAGGAGGGCGCAACAGTACATTCCTAGCACTCTAATCGTCCACGCATACGGTCAAAACGGGCTGGACCCACGCAAGGCTGGCACGGCGACCGCACATTCCGCTCCGGAAACCAGAGTCTAAAGCAGCCGGTCGGGGTGGCCGGGGAGACCGAGGCGCGGCAGCGCCGGCGGTCCGGGCGTGGCGCGGGACTGTACCGATGCTGCCCATGCGGTGGCCGTCGATGACCATGCCACGGTCCAGGTTCAGGCAGTAGTGGTGCTGGTCGTTGATGTAGCGCGTCTGCATGCGCCGCTTGAACTCCTTCTCGCTGACGATCTCGCCCACGTACTCGAGGATGAAGGTGCCGGCCCGGATCGGCCGCTTGGTCATGATGCCCCAGCCCTGTAGCAGCGGCGGCAAGATCAGTCAGGTCAGCGGCCGAGTCACGAAGCCCCAGCGTCGGGATTGGCGTCGTCCCGTCCGGAGGCGACCCCCATCGGAGCACTTGAACGGTCACCGGGCCTTAGTGCTGTGTGGGCGCCACCCCGGGCAGGCCCAGGCCGGTCGAGGCCACAGCACCTGCTCGGGTCGCCGTATGAGAAGACCGATACCCAGTTAGTTCGGTACACGATCGGCCCTTTCACAAGGTCAGCACATCAACCGAACCATAACAAGCACGAAAATCAATTGCCATCGCCGTTAGCTCACGTACCCCAGCGCCTCGCGGAGCGGCCACACACGTCCGCATCAGCCGTGCAGCGGGCCCGGACTGGCATCAACGTACCTTCTCTCCGGTCATGAACTTGACGAGCCCGGGCGTCCAGCGGTGGCGCTGGATCCTCTGGTTGTCGCAGCGGTCGCCGCACGGGCACGACGAGCTGCTGCACTCGACGAACATGACGCGGTTGATGCAGTCGTCGCCGCAGCCGGGCCGCTGCGGGTCGACTGGCGGCCGGCATGAGCACGTCTCCGCCTCGCGGTACGGCGGCGGTTTCACGTCGAAGTAGTAGTCTGCGGGGCGCCGCCAGGTGGCGTCAGACACGGCCACAGAGGTGGATCTGACGGAGAGTTGTGCACACGGGGCTCGCCGGCCGCTGGCATGGGAAGACGAGACCCGGCAGACAGGCGAGGTACCGTAAGACGACCCACCGTCGCCGGAGACCAGCACCAGACGAGCGGGCACGGCAAGCCATGGCACCGCCTGGGCGATCGCAAGGCAAGTGACTTAGCAGAAACATAAGCAAGTACGGTTCTGTCGTGAGCTCTGTGCGATCACTGACACCATATTAACGCACCAAAAACTGTACATCGGACGTAACATCACCATCATCCCTGCGACAGTGCGCGGAACTGCCCTCCATGCCTGAAATGCCCGAATATCATCACGGCGAGGTCTGCCGGCACAGCTTCCGCCGGCCCTGCAGCCGCGCCTGCACCGTGCGCCGCCGCTCACTCACTGGTGCGCAGCTTCTTGTAGTTCCAGGAGGCGACCGTGTCGCGGCCGGGCAGCTGGGCGTTGGCCTGCAGCCACCAGAGGTCGTAGGGCAGCGTGAAGTCGCGCAGCCGCTGGCGCAGCCACTTCTCTTCGTAGCAGGGCGGCGGCAGGAGGCCGTGTGGGTGCTCGGACGGCTCGTAGAAGAGGCGCGACTTGTTCAGCTCCGGCCGCTCCGACTCACTGGCCGCGAGGTCGCGCGACACGGTCACGGCCGGGCGCCCGGCACGGTCGGGTCACACGGCCGGGGACAACACGCTAGGCTAGCGCAACAGGATACCATCACAGCGCAAACACGGGACGGCCGGGTCGCGTGACTGGGGTCAGTGCTCAGCACGAGATTGAACGATGATGCCCGACTATTGAGCGGGGGTGGTCACAGCGGAGATCATACGTCGGCCGAAACTGATGGGCGCCGGAGCACCACGACACAACTGAGATCATGCTGCTCCAAAAGACCAGAGCATCTGAGGGCCAACAAAGTGTACGGTATACATTCAATTATGAGCACGGTACCGCAGCCAGCAAAAACAAAACATCCAGGCAAGCCCAGTGGCTGGACAAATACGTTGACTCGCAATGACAGACTATTATCATAGGTGTGATGTTTCGCGAAAGGATAGGGTTTTTGATGACATATGTCACAGGCTGCCACGCATCCAAAAAACACCTTATGCAGGGCCAAGTCGGTCAGCACTCTGACGAAGGAAGCGGACAGAAGACAGCACAGAGAGCAGGAGGCAAAAGCAGACCATTATCGCGTGGTAAATTCCTCAGCTGAGGCGGCTAGTCACGGCGTCTCGGAGCCTCCACACCAGCCGGCGAGCGACCGCACCTTTCCACTTTGTAGAAGTCGGAGAAGAGGCCGGCCGTGAGGTACTTCTTCTTCTTCCAGCGGGGCGCGGCCAGCTTGTGCTTGCTGGAGGCGGCGGCCGGCCGGTGCAGCTCGTCACCCGAGGGCACCTCGCTCGACGGACCCGACTCCGAGATGGGCAGGTCGCTGCGGCGCCGACGGACAGCTGCTAGCACGCTGGGCCGAGGCCAGACGACGCAACACGACGGCGAGGACCGCGCTACGCGAGGCGAAGCCATCCGGCCAGGGAAGGCCACCGCGCAACGACGTGTCAATGTACACGGCAGTCATCTTTGAGCTATTCATGGGCGCATGTCCTTCACAGTTCACGCACTAACAAGGTGCGCAGGACAAGTGCGAATGCGAAACGGTGTCCTCACCTCTCGAAGTAGATGTCGTCCTCGTGCAAGGCCAGGTCGGGCTTCTCCATTCTGGCCCGTTTGTTGGGACCGGAAACCGCCTCTTTCTTGCGCTTTCTGTCTGCAGACCGGCCCGGTACCGACCCACTGCCGGCGGGGGTGGCGGGGGCGGCTGGGGGGGTGGCGGTGGCGGCCGGGGTAGCGGCCGCGGCGGCGGGGGTGGGGGCCGCGGCGGCCGCGCTGGGGGCGGGGGCAGAGGCGGAGGCGGTGGCGGCAGCAGTGGCGTGGGCGGGGGGCGCCACAGCGGCAACAGGCTGCCGCTGGCTGCGATGGGCCGGCCGGGCGCCCGCCTTCCGACCTGACGGCTCCCGCATCTTGTCCAGCCGCACCACCGGCGTCTGGTGCAGCTGTGCCGACGACGGCGCCGGCATCGGCGCCGGTGCCGTCGTCTGCCGTCGCGGCCGCCGCATCGCGCGCAGCGACAGATGATTGCCGCGCGCCGCCGGCTCCGGCCCGGGCTCGGCGTCCTCGGCGGACGGCGCGGGCGGCGGCGCAGGCGGCGGCGCCTCCTGCTCGCCCGCCGCCGCCCTCTCCGGGGTAGCCGCCGGCGTATTGGGCACGGCCGTCGGCGTCTCGGGGGTGTCGGCGGGCGTCTCCGGAGTGGCGGCGGCCGACTCCGGCGTGGACGGCGTTGACTTGAGCCGGATCTTGCGCTTCTTGTTGGGGAAGCCGGTGCGATTGATCTTGCGGCGCTTGCGTTTGACGACGAGCGAGGCGGCGTCGGGCGGCGACCGGACGGACTGCCCCGCCTGACTGCCGGCGTCGGCCTCCGCGGGGCCGAGGTCGGCGTCGCCGGCCGGCAGCGCGTCCGGCACGGCAGCCGGCGCCGCGGCCGGCGCTGCCGCGGTGCGCGGCCGCGCCGGCGGCGGCTCGGCGCCAGCAGGCGGCGGCTCCTGGCCGTCCGCCTGCGCCGACCGCGACCGGCGCGGCTCCGGCTCGGCGTCCGCGGCCGGCTTCTGCGTCCGGCCGCGGCGCCGTGCCGAGGCCGCCCGCGCCGCCGCGCCGCCCTCAGGTCCTGACCTCGACTTGGCGGGCGGTGGCGTCGCGTCCGCGTCCGCTGCTGCGCGAGCGCGGCCGCGCGGCTTCTCGGGAGCCCGCGCGGTCTTGGCGGCGGCCGGAGGCTCGCTGGCAGTCACCGGCGTCTTTTGACTCGCCGTGGCGGACGCCTTCTGACTCACTGCTGCACACGGCTTGCGACCCGCCGCAGAGGACGACCTCTGACTCGCCGCAGCAGCCGGCTTCTGACCTGACGCCGCCGTCGGTTTTTGACTGACAGCGGCAGAGGCCTTTTGGCTCGATGCACCAGACGACTTTTGACCCACCGCAGGAGATGGCTTCTGACTCGCTGCGGCAGACGGCTTTTGGCTCGCCACGGCCGACGGTTTGTGATTTGCAGCCGCAGACGGTTTGTGACTCGCAGCCCCAGCCGTCTTGTGACCCGCTGCAGCGGCTGGCTTTTGAATCGCAGAAGTCTCCGATTTGGCAGAGGTTGGCCTACTCGATGACTTCGAGCTAACTGGCTTGTCAGACACCTTAACAGATTGAGATTTCTCCGACGATTTCGAGATCACAGATTTATTGTCGGCAGCCTTGGCAGGCTGAGCCTTGTCCACGCCTCTGGCCGGTGACGACTTTTCAGAGGATTTCGGGGTTTGAACTTTATCCGCCGCTTTCAACGGAACCTTTTCCGCTTTGGGAGCAGGGACTTCCGCCGCTTTGGGAACTTGCGGTTTTTCAGCAGCTTTGGCGACGAGCGGCTTTTCCAGGGGCTTCTCTGGAGCGGCACTGGCCGAGTCGGTTATCGTTTGGCTGATATGGTGGTACCGCTTCTTCAGTGGCAGGCACTGCTCTTTCGCCTCGTCCTCCTGAAATGCAATGCAAATAAAATCTATCACCGTAAGGACAAACGCACAACACATGAGAGTGAAGAAAAAACATGGGATACACGAATACACCGCATACAGGTCCAGCAAGACAGAGAATACTTGGACCGGGGTCGAGGGAGTCTCACAGGAGCACAAGTATCAACCTGAGCAGACATGATGATGTGCAGCTTTTGGGTGCGTCGCGACTTGAGTGGAGCAGTTCAGCCGTTACGTTTTCTAGAACTAAATATATTTAAAACAACCGCAACCTCGCGTCACTCCAGCAGAAGAAACGCAACCGTCTACGTCGTACTGCGCAGCCTATCAGACATCTGCATGCAAGCCGTTTGGTCATGAGTGACTTGCCTGCTCCATTGGGAAGTGAACGTAGCATAGCCTTCCCACACCGCTAAAAGTTATCAAAACAAAACGCCACTGGAAACTGGCCCCAGGCGTCGACCATCCAGTGTCGCAACACCACGAAATCAACACCGGCAGACGGCTGGGAGATCTGTTGCTGTTTACAGGAGTCTGGGGCGCGCCGACTGCGGTGGTCATTTGGCGCCCATGGCGGCTGGGAGAGAAGACAATCGTACTTGCAAGAATGCATTTTCATGCGTGGGCCTGGCTATGCGTACTCAAGCGCAAAAAAGGGATCCGCACATTTTGGCGATTTAGTAAAACTTAAAATAAGACCTCAGCAACTGAATCAGAAAAAAACACGCGAAAAAATTACACTGCATAGGTTGACACAACATACACAGACTGCCCTGGTGTCAGAACTGTCCTCCACACAGACACGACGGTAGTCGAGCAGGAAACTACCGAGGTCTCTTCTTTCGAAAGCAGCCGCAATCAAGACCAGTTGTAAAGAGACTCCAGCGAGGGACCACGGTAACTACACGGGCGTGGTAGCGGTAGGCTAGTTCACCGTTACCAACACACATTCAACACGCTTAGATTCAACAATGCTTTCAATGCTTTTCTTTCCACAATGCTTAGATCACGGCTACTGGAAGCGTATATCATTAAAAATTCATCGATGTTGTCGACTGGCATTGCCAGCCATGTCCGGACCACTATCAGTCAATATTTACATGCGACCGGTGACTAGCGTGCACATGATGGTTGATCGGTGACCTTTTTGCCGCCCACCCTGAAGGAACTACGAGTTCTCAACGCATCGTACCCAATTTGCCTGGTTCGCGCAGGTGTCCGGCTCCGGCCGTTAGGCAGCATCATTCGGAGCATAGCAACCGACACCTCCCACAAAACATCATCGGTGAGATGATGTATCATTAGCACCATAGCAACCGACACTTCACACAAAACATCATTCGTGAGATGATGCATCACCAGCACCACAGCAACTGACACCTCTCACAGAACATCATTCGTGAGATGATGCATCATTAGCACCAAAGTGACCGGCGCCTCTCACAAAACTGCCCCGCCTATTCACCGCCGTACAAAGCGTATAACAGAATACCGGATAAGGGAGGCTGCTGCGTATATTTCTTCTATGAGATACGTGATATGGGTGTTATCGTGCGGCCCTTGGCTAGGCGGGGTTCAGTAAGGGACCTCTCCTGACCAACATTTTACGAGTGGCGTGAAGGTAGTACAAATAGCTTTGTTATCGCAAACAATTATGTGAGCCACCACGACTTCGACAGACAGGCACCACCACAGTGTTTGTCTTGCATATCGTAAAATGATTGAAGCGGCGAGCGTCGGTAAGCAGCACTGTATGAGGCGACAACAATTTTTGACCTGTTCAAAATAGTTGACGGTGCATATATATATATATATATATATATATATATATATATAGATATATATATATATATAGATATAGATATAGATATAGATATACATACATATATATATATATATATATATATATATAATCATTTTATCGCGGTCAAAACGCGCACATTTACCAACAAACACGCGAGTCTTTCATTGCGTTTTTATAAGGCAGCTCACCTGAGGGGTGTTGACATCTTTCTTCGCCTTCCTCTTCGCTTTATCGTCGCTCTCTTTCTCCGCCTTGGCCTTCTCGAGGAGCTGTTTCCGCTTCTTGGTGTACTTTCTCGTCTGAAAGATAGTTGGCACCCGGTTCTCCAGCGGCGGGCCGGGCCGGCCGGGGCCACGCGGAATGACTAGACTGTGCAGCCGCTGCACCAGCTCCTCCACGTCGGCCAGAAGCACCGGGTCCACGATGTTCTTGTGCTTGCGCTTGAGCTTGCGCATCTGCATCCTGCGGCGTCTCGTGATGAGAAGCGCCTGGCCGCGGTTAGCCGCCTCCTGCCGCGCGCGGAGTGGCATGGGCTCCGGCGCCGGCGCGCCGCCGGCCTCCGGCTCGGCCGGGCCGTCCCGTCGGGCGCCAGCCGGCCGGGAGCGCGGCGTGCCGCGCGCCGCCGGCTCCGGCCGCGGCTCGACCGGCGGCCGGGCCGGGCCGAGCGCCCGGCGGCGGCCCTCCACCGGCGATGACTGGCCGCGGCCGGGCGAGCGGGCCGCGCTGGCACCGCGCCGCCGCTCGGCCGGAGCCGTCTCCGGTGCACTGTCGCCGCCCGTCGGCGACTTCGAAAGCACTGTAGTTCGGCCGCGCGGCTCGAGCACCGGCTCGCTGGCGTCCGACGCCGGCGAGCGCGGCACCGGCGTGGCTCGCAGCCGCGGCCCGGTCTCGCGCGGCCGGCCCGCCTCTCGAGCGCGCGGCTCGGCGTCGCCGCCGCGGTCCCGTTCCGCCGGTCGCGGCTCGGCAGCTGCCGCAGCCTTGCGGAGCCGCGGCGCCGTCTCGACAACGGCAGCGCGCGGCGGCGGCGCCACCTCTGACGGCTTGACGCGGCCGCGTGGCCGTCCGTCCAGCGGCCGCACGTCGACGGCCGCCGGCTCAGCGACGCGCCCGACCGGCTCGTCAGCGGCGGTGCGCAGCTCGTGCGGCAGCTTAGGCGCGCCGTCGTAGTCGGTCTCCAGCGGCTGGCGCGCGGCACGCAGGTGCGAGTTCTTGTTTTCCAAGTTGAGGATCTCAGACAGGGACGGCTTCCGCGTGTGGCTCTCGCCCGGTGATGGCAGCGCGCAGCGGGGCGAGCGGGGCGACAGCCGGTTGCCGATCTTTACGTACGGACTGCGGCCGCCTGAGCTGGCTGGTGAGGCGGACGCGGCGGCGGCGGTGGGCCGGCCAGCCGCCGCCGCCGGACCCGCCGCCAGCTCA